GTCGTCCCCCCCTGGCCCAGGGCCGGCAGCCCCCCCGCCCCTCACAGAGAGATTTCCAGCCTCTCGTCCTTAACATCCGTTCTGTGCCGCTCCGGGCTCTCCGGCTGTTCCAGGCAGCTGCCCCGATTCCGGATCACCTTTCCTGGAGTCTTTAGAAATCTGGAATACAGGCCCCCAAACTGCATGTCAGTCCCTGCCCCAGCTGCAGGGGGCTTCCAGTCCACCCAGCCCCACTTCCCATTTTCACCTCGGCCCCTAGGCTGCTCACCTGAACAGGAGTTTCTGTCCCGGTTCCTTCTTAAGGATGTTCAGCTTGTAATAGTGGCGCAGGGCACGGGACATCTTCTCATAGGTCATGTTCACCCGGTTCTGGAGGCAAAGCAGCCCCGGGTCAGCCCCCACTCCCCCTGCTCCTTCCAGACCTCACCTTCCACACCTGCAAAGGAGCAGGTCGGACAGGGCGGTTTCTTAAACCCCTCAGCTCGGGGTTCTGCGAGGGTTTATGAGAGCTCTCAGAGAAAGCAGCAGGTCAGGGAAGAAATGGGACGCCCTAGCTTCCCCGGCTGAGACCACGGGTGGGAGTGACCGTCACAAGCAGTAACAGGTAAGTGTAGCTATCTGCGGGAAATTCAGCCAGAGAAACGCATGGCGGGGCGGGGCGGGACGATGGCCTTGCCACCCGCTGTCACTTTGGCCAAGTCTCTTCCTCCTCTCCCTAGGGGGTAAGTAGTGCAGGGTAAGAGCGAAGGACCGGGGTGCCGGCATCCGTCTGGGCCCCAGCAGCACCACGTGGCGGCTGTGTGACCTGGAAGGAGTTTCTGAGCCTCTCTGAGTCTGTTTCCTGGCCGGATAACCAGAACCAGAGCACGCGGCTCAGGCTTGCTGTGAGGATGGAATTAGCGAGCCCGCAGAGGCACTCGGGCAGGGCCTGGCATGTGGCATGTGCTCGTTGGACGCCACTGCTGCTCTCTGGGCCTGTCCCCTCCAGCTACTGCATGGGGACGGGACCCCACCTTCTGGCATTTCATCCTTCCAGCCACCAGCACTGCTGCGGCCACATGGTGCAGCGCGGTGCAGATCTCAGCCTGAGTTCAAGTCCCTGCCCTGCCCCGTACTGAGGTGAACTCTTAGCCAAGCTGTTGACCTTCTCTGTGCCTCCGTTTCCGCATCTGAAAACAACTACCTTCCGAGGTGGTTGTGAGCATTACATGAGTTAACACAGACAAAGCCCTCGGAGCCTGGAAACCCGACACTAACTACTACGTTATAGGAAATGCTATGAATGACTAATTATCGTTCCTAGTTTTCATTGAAAGATTCATTGTTGGAGGGCCCAGCAGATGACATAATGGTTATGTCACTGGACTCCCATAGTCTACTGTGGTTCAAGTCCCAGACCTGGCGGCTTAAACCTCACACCGGGCACGTGTGCGTGAATGCCCAAAATCTCAAGAGGAGACTGGAGGAGAAGGGACTGTGGCATGGCCATCCCCCCAGGGGTTGATTTCTCACTTTCTGTCTCTCTGTTTCTCTGGCAAGCACATGCAAAAATGTAGCAAAAATCTCTCTTAAAAAAAAAAAAAATGGGCCATGTCAATGTGCCCAAAACCCCGAGAGGAAGAGATGGAGGAGAAGGGACTACATGCCCATTCTCCAGGAAGGGGTGCTTTCTCCTGTCTCGCTCTGCTTTGCCAAGAGCGCATCCTTCTACCACAAAAATAAACACCTACACACATTCATACTGAACTAGAAGAATCTGGGGTAAGCCATGGGAGATCACGTAGGCTCATCCCCCAGACACCCGCTTCCACGTGGGTGTTCCTCACAGGGCAACGCTGGCCTCGGGCCCTCCCTGATGAAACCAACAACTTCTCTGTGGAACTAGTGTGCAGATTGTTTTATGAACACTTTTTATGAAATTATAAAAGTTCAAGTGCAAATCATTTTTGAAGACTATAAATGATAAATTTATGCTTACAAGAGAAAAATCCAAACTTTTTTTTGGTATTGTCGGGAAATAGTTCAATTTAGTGTGTACTGTTAATTTATTTGTCATCAAAAGAGGATACTGCCTTAAGAGACGGACTAGTTTGCAAAATGTTAATAATCTTTTGAGAAATTGTAGTCTATCATTAGTTTGTGTCTGTATGTTATTTTTATAAATACTACCTATATGTTTAGTACATACAACTTTCCATTTTGAAGCTTGTATCTGTGAATTTGCCGCTGAAATTTATTTTGCCAATGTGTTTTTAATGAATTGAATAAAGTTTCTGTTGAAAAAATTTTTTAAAATTTCCAAAGTATTTCCCAATGTAGTGGTACTATTTGTACCATTTAAGCTTCTTAAAAGCAATGTTTAAGAGTTCAAGTTGTTCCATAGTCCTGATAACATAATAAACATTTTAAATTTTGATCATTCCAGTGAGTGTATAATTATATCTCATGAGAGATGTTATAAATATTTGCATTTCCCTAATGGCCAGCAATGGTAAGCATATTACAAGTGTATATTAGCCATTCATATATCCTTTTATCTATTCAAATCTTTTGTCCATTTTAAATCAGATTTTTTTGTTTCAGACACACACTAATCTTAGTCGACTGTGTTAGATCTATTCATTTTCTGAAGTTTTTTTTTTCTTTTTCTTTTTAGGTTTTGCCATAGGGGACAAGCTCACTTTCTCTCTCTCTCTCTCTCTCTCTCTCTTTCTCTCTCTCTTCTCTGTGCCTCCGTTTCCGCATCTGAAAACAACTACCTTCCGAGGTGGTTGTGAGCATTACATGAGTTAACACAGACAAAGCCCTCGGAGCCTGGAAACCCGACACTAACTACTACGTTATAGGAAATGCTATGAATGACTAATTATCGTTCCTAGTTTTCATTGAAAGATTCATTGTTGGAGGGCCCAGCAGATGACATAATGGTTATGTCACTGGACTCCCATAGTCTACTGTGGTTCAAGTCCCAGACCTGGCGGCTTAAACCTCACACCGGGCACGTGTGCGTGAATGCCCAAAATCTCAAGAGGAGACTGGAGGAGAAGGGACTGTGGCATGGCCATCCCCCCAGGGGTTGATTTCTCACTTTCTGTCTCTCTGTTTCTCTGGCAAGCACATGCAAAAATGTAGCAAAAATCTCTCTTAAAAAAAAAAAAAATGGGCCATGTCAATGTGCCCAAAACCCCGAGAGGAAGAGATGGAGGAGAAGGGACTACATGCCCATTCTCCAGGAAGGGGTGCTTTCTCCTGTCTCGCTCTGCTTTGCCAAGAGCGCATCCTTCTACCACAAAAATAAACACCTACACACATTCATACTGAACTAGAAGAATCTGGGGTAAGCCATGGGAGATCACGTAGGCTCATCCCCCAGACACCCGCTTCCACGTGGGTGTTCCTCACAGGGCAACGCTGGCCTCGGGCCCTCCCTGAAAGCTGAAGCTCCCGACATGGGCTTCTGCCCCAGCCTCCCCCAGGAACCAGCTTCCTGTCTGGCCTGCCCTCCCCACAGCATGCACTGCGCAATTCACGTGCCCGTGCCCGAGGCGCTCCATTGCCAGGCGGAGCTGGGATTAGGCAATGAGAAGGTGCCATTCCTGGGTGGGGAACATTTCTCCACCCTTAGCAGTAACGGCCTATCCTTCCGTGTCCCCCAGAATAAGCTGACCCTAGCAGTTAAGGACTGTCCCCTAGCGCGGAGGGACGCCCTGCTCTGACTTGGGGATTTGTTGAGACCACCCCGCCTGCTGGTTCACCTTGTGGTTTCCCCAGAGCCTGGCGAGCCCATTTGGATCCACGACCCGGAAGATCTTGGCGTCCTTGTCTTCCCACCTGATGTAGGGCTCGTACCTGGCGTCGAGCAGCAGCTGGTACACGTAGTCCCACAGCAGCCGGCAGTCTGCAGTCAGCACGGGGTGCAGGCCGCTTAGCGGGGCGGAGGGATGGCGCGGGAAAGGTGCCCTTACCCGGAGAACGCAAAAGACCCGGTAGGGACCAGCAGATGGCGTAATGGCTATATCGCTGGACTCCCATGTAGTTGACTACGGTTCGAGTCCCAGACCTGGCAGCTTGAAACTCACACTGGGTATGTGTGCGTGTGTGCCCAAGATCCCAAGAGGAGAATGAAGGAGAAGGGATTGCAGCGTGGCCATCCCCCCAGGGGATGATTTCTCGCTTTCTGTCTCTCTGTCTCTCTCTCCCTCCCCAGCATCCTATAGCAAAAGAAAAATCTCTAAAAAAGAAAACCAGTAATTGCCTTTTTAGGGACTTTAAGTCATTTCCAACTCAGAAGTCAAGCTCCTGCCCCTTCTTGGGCATCTTAGGATAAATGTGATGTCGTCCCCTCCCCTCGCCCCATGGCTAGAAAACACCTTAGGAAAGGCAGGCAGCTTCTCTCAGTCTGGTTCCTTCACCAGCAGGCGCAGAGTGGATGTGTATCACTTGGTTAGAGCTCAGGCTCTGGAGCCAGGCTGCATGGGTTCATATCCCAACTCTGACACTTAGTGCTGTGCAATCTTGGGGAAGCCACTTAACCTCTCTGTGCCTGCTTCTTCATCTGAGAAGCAGTACTGTAATAGTACCAAGTACCAACCTCGAAGGGTTGTTATAAGATTAAATAAAAGCCTTGGTCCCATGCCTGGTGTACAGTAAGTGCTCAGTTATTTTATAATAAATAAGTAAAGCTTTAAAAGGAGGAAATGCAGACAGTGGTGTGGCGGTAAACGTGACATTCTGTAAGGCTGACCCACATGAAACAGTCTCACGTCCAGAGACTTCCCAGCCTACGTTGGGCACACGTGTACCCATAATCCAGGTGGCTAAGGCTGGGGGCGAATCGTGGCATCGAGCCCTTTGGGGGTGCAGTCTCTTTGTTTCTGTCTCTCTCCCTCATGGAAGAAATTAATAAACTTAAAAACTAATGTTGGGGGACTAGCAGTTAGCATAATGGCTATGTCGCTGGAATCCCAACGTAGTCGACCGCGGTTCGAGTCCCAGACCCAGCAGCTTAAACTCATGCCAGGCACATGTGCATGCATGCCCAAGATCCCGAGAGGAGAATGGAGGAGAAGGGATTGTGGCAATTGTGGCGTGGCCATCCCCCCTAGGGGGTGATTTCTCGCTTTCTGTCTTTCTGTCTCTCTTGCGCACACCCCCTATAACAAAACCCTCAAAAAAAAAAAAAAAAGAATGTTGGTGGGGGGGCCTCCTTGCTGACCTGAGTGTCTGACTGAGTGAAGAAGCTGTCCCTGCCCTGGAGACAGGGTGGCCTGGTGACCAAGAGCAGCACTGTGTCTGTAGCCAGTGGCCAGAGCACAGGACAGTCACCCGACCCCCTGCCCCTAGCACAGACCCTCTCACCCCCCAGATCGAACAACCCCGGCCTTATCACCCGACAGCCCTCCGGTCGGCACATTCCCTCCCAGCCGGGACAGACAGCCCCTACTCACCGGCGATCCTGCCGTCGATGGGGGCCCGCGGCACCGTGGAGAAGGAGCAGACGCCCTGGGTCCCGCGGTCAGGCTCTGTGCAGTGAGACAAGTTGAGGGGCTCCTCCCGGGCAAGGGGCCACCTGGCCAGGCTGGGGGCGTGCAGGATAGCGGGAGGAACTGGCGAGCCTGGCGTCTGGCGGCTGCTGCCCGGGCCCCTCTGCGGGCAGACAAGGCGCACGGGGAGCCCAAGGCTCCTCACCCCTCCCCTCAGTGGCCTGCTGGCTCCTCCTCCAGCCAGCCCTGGGTGGATGGTCAGGGAGGCCGTGGTGGGCAGTGGTGAGGGCCGGACATCCCCAGCGCTACCCCGACTCCCAGACCAGTGAGCTCGCCTCTCAAGCCTGCTGCCCCACATGAAGAACAGCCGGGCTGGACCCCAAGGCCCTCCATCCAGGGTCCCCGTTTGCCCAGGAAATATTTACGGAGGACCTCGGGTCAGCTAGGCATGGTTCTAGGAACCTTGGAGATACATCATAAACCCCAAATCCCCTCTCCTCATAGTGCTTATACTCCACTGAGGGTAGGAGGAGATGGAGGATTAAACGAAAACAGGAGGCCAGCCGTGGCCTGGCGGTTAAAGCGCGGGATCCCACACGGCCCAGCGCAGCGCAGGTCAGGTTTTCGGGGCGTTCAGGCAGGGAAGGCCTCCTGTCACGTTACATTTGAACTGAGGCCTGTAGGGGCAGAGGAGCCCTGTGGGCATCTGGAGGAGGGACATCCAGGAGCAGGGGCCAGGAGGGCAGAGGCCCTGGGGCAGAAGTGGTCTGGCTGGAGCAGCTCGGTAAGGGAGAGGCTGGGAGAGGAGGACAGAGCACAGGAGGTCCGTGCAGGCCGGGATTTGGCTCTCAGTGGGAAGGAGCCATGGGCAGATGCTGGAGCAGCTCGGTAAGGGAGAGGCTGGGAGAGGAGGACAGAGCACAGGAGGTCCGTGCAGGCCGGGATTTGGCTCTCAGTGGGAAGGAGCCATGGGCAGATGCTGGAGCAGCTCGGTAAGGGAGAGGCTGGGAGAGGAGGACAGAGCACAGGAGGTCCGTGCAGGCCGGGATTTGGCTCTCAGTGGGAAGGAGCCACAGGCAGATGCTGAGCAGAGAAGTGAGATGACCTTGTAGGACCCCTGTCACTCCGGGAAGCACAGCTCACAGGGCATCAAGGCAGAAGCCAGGAGACCGGGGGGCAGGGTCTGCAGAGGTGATGAGGGCTGCGCCGGGGACAGCAGGGGGGTGTGAGGAGGGGCGGGGTTCTGCACAGACAGGAGGATGGAGCCTCAGATCTGCTGACAACGGGATGCAGATGGGAGAGGAAGAGAGGGCTCAAGGGCAGGGCCAATGTTTTGGTCTGAGCAACTGGAAGGACAGAACTGGGGTGTGTGTGGGGGGGGACGGGAGGACTAGGAGAAGGGAAGACCGAGAGACAGGCACGGCTGGGGAGGGGTGGGGACAGGACGGGTGGGGTTGCCGTGAGACCAGTGGAGGCGTGGGCAGGCAGAGCGGGGCGTGCTCGTCTGAATCACTGGCACCGGACGGTGTTTACACCCAAGACCAGATGAGGTCATCCAGGGTCTGAGAGGACAGAGAAGGCAGAAGGGCCCCCAACCCTGGGGTACCCCAACATTTAGAAGTAGGGAAGACATAAGAGAAGGAGATTGAGAAGGAGCAACGCATGGGGTAAAAGGAATTTCGGGTGAGGTGGGATGGGCCTGGAAGCCAGAGCGAGGAAGAGTTTTGGGAGAAAGAGAAGGGACGGCCCGCAGTGAACGGGCTGAGGGTGAACGTGGACACCCCTGGCTTAGGCCCTGGGAGACCCTGGTCAGAGCGGCTTCCAAGGAGAGACGGGCCACAGACACCCCCACAGACACCGCTGGAGGACAGTGGGGAAGAAGGAGGTGAGAGGCAGCTGCACCCCCAGGACAGAGGCGGGAGGGTGCAGGGAGGGTGGGGGAGCTCAGTCCCCGCCGGCCACCTCTGTCAACACCGGGCATCGAGTAAGCCTGGCCTGCCAGGGAGGCCAACTTGAGGAAGGACTCAGAGCCCCAAGGAGAGCCCCTCACCTTCCAAGGGGCCGGGGGCGAACCCGGAGCTCATCTTCTGGCCGAAGGCTCCTCTGAAGAAGGGCCCGCACACCAGGGCTCGCCGCTGGGTCCTGATGCTCCGGAGCAGCTCGTACAGGACGTCACCTGGTGGGGCAGGAGCGCGTGCAGCTGAGGAGGCCAGGCCGAGGACTGGGGCTGATGAAGGGCCCCTGCTGCAGCTCGCAGGGCGGGGCCTGCTGCCCCTCCAGGGGGTAAACTGTCAGAAGACAGCGCCTCCTGCTGGTGGGTCGGCCACTTCCCGGGCAGCCTGCAAGGCCAGACAGCTTCTCAGCCCCCATGCACACCCTCGGTGGAGGCCTGCGTGCGTGCACACTGCACAACTGTACCGCACCTCCCGGGGCCAGAGGCCGTCCTTCCAAGGCTCACAGAATTCCCCAAACTTTATCAAAAGGCTGCCTCTGGGGGCCAACAGGTGGCATAGTGGTTAAGGCACTGGATTCCCACATGGCAGGCCACAGTTCAGTCCAGGACCTGGCAGCTTGAAAAATCAAACAGGTTGCTTGTGTGTGTGTGTGTGTGTGTGTGTGTGTGTGCCCAAAATCCCATGAGAAGAATGGAGGAGAAGGGATTAACGGTGTGCCCATCCCCTCTAGGGAATGATTTCTCACTTTCTCTCTTATTATCTCTGTCTCTCTTCGGCAAATACACACGCCCTATGGCAAAAACCTAAAAGAGAGAGAAATGAAAGAAAAAGAAAGAAAGAAAGAGAGAGAGAAAGGGAGAAAGAAAGAAGAAAGAGAAGGGACCAGCAGGTGGCATGGTGGTTAAGGCACTGGACACTCCCACATGGCCGACTGCAGTTCGAATACCTGACCTGGTGGCTTGCTTTCTCACTTTCTCTCTCTCTCTCTCTCTCATCTAATTAAAGAAAGAAATCATATGTTCCTGATATTTGTTATCTCTATGAAAATTTCTGTAATTCATAAGGGCTTCCCCCTCCCCCACCTCCACCCCCCACCCCCTCTATCTCTCTGGCAAGTGCGCATGCCCTCTGGCAACTTCTTTAAAAGGTCTGTCTCTGCCTTGTAAGGACAAACAGCCCTAGCTTCTTCCTACAAGGCAGGAAGAGGGGCCTATCCAGGGTCCCAGAAATCCTCCTTGATTCCAGCCTTGGGCTAAGGGACTGATGGTAGGGCAGGAAAGAGGAGGGGATCCCTGGGCAGAGAGCAGCCGGGGAGGGGTGGGGGGTGGGGACAACATGTGGTGGCACTCGAGGACCAGGACCAGGGAGATTGTAGGAAGCAGAGAGACAGACATGGCAGGATGGGACCAGACTGACACTTGCCTGCTCCCACCTTCACCCCTGCCCGGGACTGGCAGGCTGTGGAGGAAGCCAGAAGCCCGGTGTGTCTGTCCCTGCCCTCCCCCCACCCACCAGAGCTCTTAAATCCAGACACTACAGACCCAACAGCCGCCAGGGGAGGCTTCTAGGGGACAGTAGGACAGAACTTGGATGTGGGGCCAGCTCCCGTGGCCTGGTGGCTGAGACAGACAGCTTCCACATGGCCAACCATGCAATTTGAGTCAGACTTAGCGACTTGAGGAACACACCAAGCACGTGTGCATGCCTGCCCAAACTCCTGAAAGAAGGGGGTGATGGAGAAGGGATTGCGGCTCGGCCATTCCCTGTAGGGGGTGCTTTCTCACTTTCCCTCTCTGTCTCTCTCTGACAAATGCATGTGTCCTCGAGCAAAACATTAAAAATAAAAGTAAAGTCAATTAAAAAGAACTTGGGATGTGACGTGACACTGGCTGTAGGCAGTTTGAAGACAAGGAACACATCAGAATATTTCAGAAAATCTTTTGCTACAGGGGCCGGCAGGCGGTGTGGTGGATGAGGGCGCTGGATTCTCACAGGGCCGACCATGGTTCAAGTCCCGGACTTGGTGGCTTGCTTTCTCGCTTTCCCTTTCTCTCTCTTTCTGGTGGTCAAATCAAAAGATAACAATAACAAATGGAATTAAATAAATAAATAATCTCTTTTTTTAATCTTTTGCTACGTATACTGGGGGTCTGCCAGGTCAAAAAAAGCCTACATGGAAAATGTGATGTATTCTTTAAAAAAAAGATATCAAGGCCAGTAGGTGGCATAATGGTTAAGGCACTGGACTCCCATGTCGTTAACCACAGGTCAAGTCCCAGACCCGGGGAGCTTGAAACCCATGCCGGGCGCGTGCATGCATGCCCAAAATCCCGAGAGGAGAATGGAGAAGAGGTTGAGGCGTGGCCATGCCCCTGCCTCCACTGGGGGTGCTTTCTGTCTCTGCCGCTCTGGTGAGCACACGCACCCTCCAGCAAAAATTCCTCAAAAAAAGAAAATGAAACCAAGCCTGAGCGAACACCCAGAGCCTCCCGGAGCAGGCCGAGTGAGACTCAGTGACCGCGGAAAGCACTGTGCCTGCTGGGACCCTGTGCACCAGCACTGCCCCACGCCATGCCACCTGAAAGGCCCGTAGACACTCGCCTCTAAGACCGACCTTCTGCTTAAAACCAAACTCACCTTGGGAGGCCAAGTTTTCGCTGCTATCGGCCATTTATACCTCAGGGTGGATGGATGTGGGAACTTTCTCTAGATTTTTTTTTCTTAAATAGGTCTGGTGGGAGCGTGGGGATGGGAGGAGGGAGAAGGGGGAAGTGCAGGGGGGCCGCTGTGGCTCTGAGAGCAGCCGAACTGCCCCTGTGCTGCAGGCTGTCCAGCTAGGACCAGCAGCCGGGGATGCAGAGAGGAGCCTGCAGTGCTGGAGGCCAGCGTGATGCCCCAAGGGAGGCGCCCACGAGGCCCGGGGCCACTCTGGCCTACCTGGGGTCTCAAGGAAACGTTTAGAGCAAAGCCAGGGAGTTTCTGACCTGAGCCGGGTGCGCGGTGCCGGAAGTCGTCCTTGGTGAGGATGCAGAGGGCGCGGCCGTTCATCTGGAACCCGTGCTCACCGGTGGGCTGCAGAGCGTACTCCTGCTCGGCCCAGTGCAGCCAGTGCAGCACGTCCTCCCTGCTCCAGAGTGCGGGCTGGATGCCTGCAGGGCGAGGACACGGCTAGGGGAGGCAGAGGGCTCCCTGGGCAGGGTGGGGCCGCTCCCTCCTGTTTCAGGCTCACTCACACATCACCTCCTCAGAGAAGCCCACCCTGAACACTCCAGACGATCAGATGCTCTCCTGTCCTGCCCCACCCCTTGTCACTGGCTCTGTCACGAGGGCCTCGTCTCTTCTTCCCTGACACCTCCCTTCCATGTAATGACAGTTTGCGTGGGATAGAATTACGTTAGAGTTTCTCATTATGCAGACGCTTCTGATAAACCCACGGTATGTTCCAGATAACTTGAGTGGAAAATTCGTTGAAGGGGCCAGCCAGTGGTGTGGTGGTTAAGCAGCTGGATCCCACCGGGCCGACTTTGCAGTTAGAGTCCTGGACCCAGTGGCTAGAAAGCACTCCAGGCGCATGTGTGTGTGTGCCCAGCGTCCGGAGAGAAGCGCGGAGCAGAGGGCATTGTGGTGTGGCCATCCCCCCCCCGGGGGGCTGATTTCTCTCTCTCTCTCTCTCTCTCTCTCTCTGTCTCTCTCCCTCTGGTGAGTGCATGCACACTATGGCAAAACTGAAAAGGAAGGAAAAAGCATTTAATACAACCTAACCTGCCAAACTTTATAGCTTAGCCTAGGCTGCCTTAACACGCTCAGATCAGTTTCATGAGCCCAGAGTTGGGCAAAACCCTCTCACACAGGACCAGCAGTTAGTGTAATGGCTATGTCGCTGAACTCCCATGTAGTCGACCGTGGTTTGAGTCCCGGATCTGGTGGCTTGTGTGCGTGCGTGCCCAAGATCCCGAGAGGAGAATGGAGGAGAAGGGATTGCGGCGTGACCATCCCCCCTCGGGAGGTGATTTCTTGCTTTTTGTCTCTCTGTCTCTCTCTATCTTTCTGGTGAGTGTACGCACCCTACAGCAAAAACCTCTCAAAAACAAAACACCCTCTCGCACAAAGCCTGCTTTATAACAGCGTGCTGGAGAGTTCAGGAATGCACTGAGTACTGCACTGAGAGTAGAGCCGGAGAGCTCGCTTGGGTGTCGGAAGTCTTTTCCACGGACTGTGCATCACTGTCACACCATCAGAAGGTCACAAAGTCCTACGCTGGGGCCAGCAGATGGCATGGGGCTAAGGCATCTGGATCCCACGTGGTCGACATCACGGTTTCAGTCCAGGACCCGGCGGCTTGAAAACCACACCAGGCACAGGTGTACAGATGCCCAAAATCCCCAGGGGAGAATGGGAAAGAAGGGATCGCAGTAAGACCATTCCCCCTGGAGAGGATGCTTTTTCACTTTCTCTCCCTTTCTGTCTCTTTTGTGCTCACATGCTATACTGCAAAGATTAAAAGTTTTAAAAGTCCTGAATTGAACCACCGTAAGTCAAAGAGCGACCAACTATATACGTGTTATGCATGTGTTCCCTGTTTATTGCTGGCTCTCCCTCCGCCTGCTTGTTTTCTGGTCGTTCATTCAACGGATATTTAATGAGGACCTACTGTGCTCCAGGTACTGGACATGTGAGGGAGGATTCCCACCTAGCACCGTGCCTGGGGCACAGTGGGCAGTCCGTAAGCCCATGTAGAAGGACTGCTCAAGTGTCTGGACAGTCCTCTGAAGAGGGGCTACTGTTAGTTTCCCACGAGAGGCTCCCATAAGCTAGGGGACTCGCCCAAGGGGACACGGGTCACAGGAGGTACAGCCCAGCCCCAGCCCAGCCCAGGTCTGAGCGGCTGCTGTCCTCGGCCGTGCAGAGCCAGCTCAGACCCGGTTTGCTCAGGGAGCAGCCCAAGGCACAAGAGATTTCCCCCACTCTGGGCAGTCACGCATTCCTTTTTATTTTAATTTGTATTTATTATTATTATTCATACATGAAATCGCTATTCATCATTTAGGTTGTGAAGAGACGTTACCCAGCATGACACACACCTCAGTCCAGCCCAGCTGAGATGGCCATGCACATCCTCGTCACCAGATCATCAACCTGATCCGTGTCCCACAAGTGTCTTGTCTCCATCATCTCCAGCCGAGTGGCTGCTTCCTTTCCTGCTCCCTGCGTTGCCACTCTCCCTGGGCCTGTTACGTCCCGAAGGCCAACAGTCCACTTCACTGACCCGGGCTGTGTGTAGCAGGCCGCATGGTGACTTCACAGGCCCTGGACACTGTGCCTTTTCCAGTAAGATGTGCGTGTTAGGTTTCTGGGAAAGCCATGTCATATGGTCAGTTTCTCTGTGTAAAAATGTGTCATGACGTTCCCGACAGCCCAGTAGTTAACATTTTATTTTGCTACTGCTTGGTATATAGACTCAATACTCATTGGGTTCAGTTTTTTGTTTTTGTTTGTTTGGTTGGTTTTTTAATTTTTAAATTTGCTATAGAGTGCATGTGCTCACCAGAGAGAGAGACAAAGAGAAAGAGGAAGAGACGGAGGGGTGAGAAAGCACTCCCCAGGGGGTGGCCATGCCACAGTCCCTCCTCCATTTCTCCTCTTGGGATTCTGGGCACGCACGCACACTCAGCCCGTGTGTTTTCCAGGCCACCAGGTCCAGGATCTGAACCGTGCAGTTGGCCATGTGGGATCCAGCTGCCTTAACCACCACGCCACCTGACTAAACCCAGCTTTTTAGTTTTAGCGGTTTGGGGGGTTTTGTTTTGTTTTGAGATTTTTGCTATAGGGAGCATGTGCTTGCCAGAAAGACAGAGAGACAGAAAGCAAGAAATCACCCCCCACGGGGGATGGCCACACTGCAACCTTTTCCCCTCCGTCCTCTTCTCAGGATTTTGGGCACACACGCACATGCGCACACACACACCCAGATTGAGTTTTAAGCCACCCAGGTCCGAGATTCAAACCACAGTCAGTTACATGGGAGTCCAGAGCCTTCCCCACCACACCATCTGGCTAGCCCATTTTTTAGTTTTGCAGTTTGGAGTTTTTTGTTCTGTTTTGAAATTTTTTTGCTATCGGGTGTGTGTTGGAGAGACAGAGAGAGACAGAGAGTAGAAAGTAAGAAATCACTCCCACAGGGGGATGGTCACACTGCAATCCCTTCTCCATTCTCCTCTCAGGATCTTGGGCACATGCGCACGCACACACAGACACACATACACACACACACACACACACACACACACACACACACGGCGTGAATTTCAAGCCACCAGGTCCGGGATTCAAACTACAGTTGTCTATGCGGAAGTCCAGAGTCTTAACCATACACCACCTGCTGGCCCGTTTTTGTTTTGTATTTCCAGAGGGCACATGCCCTCACCAGTGCAGAGAAGAGAAAGCCCGCGGCGGGGTATGATCACACTGCAATCCCATCTCCTCCATTTTTCCATCCTCCAGTTTGAAACATGCCAGGTACATGTGTGTGCCCAAAATCCCAACAGGATGGAGAAATCAAAACAACCACGCATGACCCTGTCCCACTGGGGGTGCTTCCTCTCTCTGTGTCTCTGTCTCTGCATGTCTCTCTAGAGAGTACACACCCTCTCTGCCAATTAAGAGAGAAAGAAAGAAGAAAAAGCAAGGAAGGGAGGAAGGAAAGGGGGTGAAAAGAGAAGAAACCAGAAATAGAAACAGAAAACCAGAAGCAGTAGACCAGAGCGAGGGAGACCTCAGCCGTAACGGGAAACTCAGAGGGTATAATAAAAATGAAAGACTCATTTGACTACGTTAATTTTGTGTGTATGTGGCAAACCATACCATAAACAAAACGAAAAGATTGTAGATTTCAGGGAAATATTTGCAATGCAGATAAAGAGCTAACCCCTATCCTAGGTCGGAGCATCTGTACATCTGCATTTATTTTTTAATCTCAAAAAAAATAAAAAATCTTACCCACGACTCAGAGTGGAGCAGGACTTCTCAGCCTCAGCCCTATGGACACTTTGGGCCTGTCCTGTGCACTGGAGGGGGTCCTGTAGCATCCCTGGGCTCTACCCACCGGATGCCAGCCCAGCTCTGTTTTGCCAAAGGGCACGTGCACTCCCCAGAGAGAGGCAACGAGCGAGAAACTGAAAATAACCATCCCCCAGGGGGGTGGCCACATTACAATCCCTTCGCCTGCATTCTCCTTCTGGGATTTTGGGCACGTATGCGCACATGTCTGGCGTGAGTTTCAAGCCAAAAGGTTTGGGACTTGAACCATGGTTGGCCATGTGGGAGTCCAGCACCTTAATCACCATGCCACCTGCTGGCCCCACCAGCCCAGTTTTAGCAACCAAAAATGTCTCTTCCAGTGTCCCCGGTGAGACGAGACGGGCAAAATCACCACCAGGTGAGAACCCCGGTGTGGAGTGAATCCACTAATAAACAAGGCGTGTCACCCCATGGTCAGGGAGGGCGGGATCAGAGAGGACGAGGTCTCCGTTAATGCCGACACCTGCAGCTGGCAGGTATGCAGGGAAGAGGAAGCACTGCTGGTGGGAGCAGGACTTCTGAGCCTCTGTGGGAGACCTGTCCCGTCGTGTACCACTGAGACCCAAAAGGCTCAACCGTGCAAACTGTGGAGACTGCCCGGGGTGAGGTTCATGAGGTTTGAGGCACCGGGCTCCAAAATCAGCCAGGGCCTCTGGCAGTGTGGGAGTGGGGGTTGGGCAGGTGCATCTTATCTGAATCCACATTTTGGGGGGCTCCTTAGTTTGTGATATTTGAGGCCGGCAGCCTGAAAATTCACAGCTATGATTCCTGAGCCACAGAGTACCCAGCATAGCCTGGGTTAGCTGGAGGCAGGAGACTGGACACCTAACTGGCCATCCCACCTTCCTGAAAACAGTCCACTCGGAGAGGGGCGACTCTGGCCATGGCCGACATTGTCAATTAACGATGTGGTCCTGCTCCCCCAATCCAGAGGGATGAGTGGGGGGCGTCCCAAGATGTCTCTGAGGGACCCAGAGACCACACCCAGCTTGCAGTAGCACCTGGAAACGCGGGCTCGTTATCCTGTTCCTTTTGTTACCTCGTGCTCACTCCTCCGCCCCCTTTCATCTCA